TGAAATGTGAATATTAATGCTCAAAAGAGATGAACCATGAGCATCAGAGATGGACAAGAAGGGATTAAACATAAATTGGTAACAAGTACGTCAGACAGAATGGCATATCGTCTTGATCGACAAGAACTACTACTCTTGAATTGTCCTTCCAGAAGCACCTTCAGGGCTCTCACCAAGCAAGATTCATGATAAGCATATTACAACTGTTGTGTTTTTAATGGCATCAGCCCAATGCCAAGACACAAGTCAAAAGGAAAACCACTTTCAAGGAAAGAAAAGCTGAAGCAAACACAAAAGGTGCACTGGATGAACGTTGCAGCAGTCAACCACTTAAGAGAGAAAAAGTTATAGTCCAAAAGAGAATTTTCCAACAGTAAATAATAATGTACTATATTTAAGGAATGAATGATGAACTTGACTAGACAGTTCATAATAAATGTTATGTGATGAGGCTTTTTTTGTGTAGTTTTGTGTTTAAAGACATTCTAATTGCAGTTAAAAACTGCAACTGCTTAAAAGTGCTGCCTAACAGCCCCGTTACAAGTCAGGGACTGTATGTAAAGGCATGCTCAGGGAAAAATAGTAACACCCCACACCCGGGATACTTTTTGTCTCGCTGACTGGAAAAAGTCATTTATCCAAGAAAGTAAATAGTGGTGAAATGTATCAATCGCACTGATTCTCCTTCTCTTCTCCAGTTAATCCAAGTTTGCCAAAACCAACTGCCTAATGGTACTATTTTGTGATTTTACAGCTACTTGTGTCCTACACAAAGGATACAAGCAGTCTTTCTGATCGTGTGTTTTAAAAATCCCTCAATTGAGAATGACTTGTAGAGTTGCTTCTTAGAATTTCTTCCACTAAAGACAGGTACGCATGGTACTTCATTGAAATAGTCAAGTTAGTTCTCAATCAAGAAGAATTAGTGCAAGCAGACCTCCAGATTAACACAGCTTTATTCCTTTCACTTCAAAAGCTAAACCAGGTACTTCTGCCTAATACATTTGGTGTCTGAAAAACTTTCTGCAACATTAAGCCGAGTACTTTTTTTTGCTGAAAAGGATGCAAGCCTAAATTAATTTATTTTTAAAAAAGAGAGAGCCCAAAGTCTTCCTACTTTTTGATTAGTGGAAATTCTCTTTGAATTTACTTGTTCACACAGCACAAGAATCCACATCTTCATTAACTTAGTTCATATTGTTTATATGTGTTTTTAGAAGATGCACATCTCTGCTGTCCTATTCTAAAGGCAGGCCTGGCTCCAGCAGTGGCAGCCGATGCACACAGACCTAAGCACAACCTTCTGAACCAGGTTCTCAACATTCCATCTTCTTTCTTTTAACTTGAATTCCATAAATAATTTTAGGTGGGTGAATTGTGTCATGAAAACAGGAGTCTCTTTATTTATTTTAAAAGGCTATATAATTCTTGCCCTGCTTCTAATTTCTTTATATTAAATATTCACTAGAAATACATGGGAAATCTGCACATACTTCATAGTAACTATTCTTTTTATTCTGGAGACAAAATTATTATTTACTCAGTTAAGTTATTATTGATTTTTTGCCAAATGAGAAACTGCAACCTGACCTGATCACAGCAGTGCCATCCTTCTCATGAATCTCCTATTGCACAACACTTCTTCTGACTGTGCCTCTCACCCCCCCAGGTTTTCATCTACTTGGCTAGGCAAGCTCTCTGGGAAAAGAACTGGATATAAAGAGTTCAAGACAAATTTTGGCTGGAGCTGCAAGGCAAACCATCAAACGGTAAAGCAGAAGAGTTGTAAAATTTACCTCAGAAGGACCTTCTCCTACTCCTCTCCGACACAAGCAATTTGAGAGAAAGGAAGAAGGTGGAGAATGGAAGCTTTTGAGAACAACCCAGCTAGGACAGATGATAAACCTGCACTCTACCCTGAGGAAACGGGGTCCAAAGTTCAGTCCTATGTTTGTATTTCTAAAGAGCGTAAAATATCGAATATCCTTCTTGAAGGATAATTCTCTCTTTAGTGTCTTACCACATTGCTATGTAACTATACAATAAATATTATCCTGCTCACATGCTTCTGTTTACTTAGCATACATTATATTTGATGCTATCTGGCAGCAGAAGTTTTAGTTCTGTCATCTTAAAATACTAATAGTTGTCAATCAAAATAGAAAGTGCATAATAAAAATGTTCTAGAAACTAATAACCCTATATTTCTAGACCTTCAGCTTGGAGCTAAGCATTGCTAAAAATGAGATTAATTATATGTTTGTACAGCGCCCAATACAATCAGACAGACCTCTAAACAACATCCTCCTAGAAATGAACACAGACTTGATACATACTCATATATATAGAGTGTGTATATATTATGCAATATATGAAACACTAAATTAATAGTATCATCTTCATTTGGCCCAGTCTTTTGATCTACAGCAGAGTTTGGGGGGAAAAAAACCCACAATATTCACAGTGACCCAGTGTTAGGTAGAGGATGAGAGAAAAGGGCACGGCCAATACCAAAGTAATTTATGCTGAATTTCTGCAAATATATAGAAGCACGGAAACAGCAAGGAGATACACAAAGGACAGGTCCCTCAAGTTATGACCAACATAACAGGGTAAACTGATCAATTTAAGATAAAGTGTCAGAAAAATATCCTTTGAATTATATCTGTGAACCTTTAGTGGGAACTTCACTGCTTAGGACATTTAAACCTGCTCTGGACAAAGTATCAGCAAATACCCCGTAGGGAACAATCCTGTAATGTCAAGAAGATGGACTAGGTGTATAACAGGTCTTTTGCTGCTCCAATTTTTATTATTCTAATCCATCACCCTTACCAATGTGGTGAAATTTTATGTAGACCTTTAAAATTATGACCATTAGAAAATTATGCCTGTGTCTGTATAATATATACACACATATGGATGTAAGGTCTGGTTTTTAAAAAGTCAAAAACGAATTTTGCACGTAATTTGCCCATGCTACAGCTGTAACTATGCATTAATCTGGCAAGTGCAGATAGACATTTCTAATTATGGTTATGTGAATGCACAATTTACATGCATAATTTTGACAAGTGAACTTGCAACTTAGGCACGCAGTAACTTAAACGTGTTTACTGTTGACAACTTAGTAGCATTGGACTGTGACATGCTTATGCCATGAAACCAGGATCAGTCTGTGAGCTTTGCCCCAAAACAGAAAATTAGGAATCCTGCAAGGTAGACAACAAGTTGACATCAAAGCTTGCAGAAGAAGCTAAGAAGTCCCACAACGAGCTCTACACAAAACACTGCTATCAGGGGATTCTCAAGAAAAAGCTGAAAGATTTTATTTGGCTCCCTTCTGCCCAAATCACTACAGTCTTCTTCATTTTTCTTTGCACCCCCTGTTTTGCAGAGAGGGTGGAATTCCCTGTCACTCTTTCTAAAACCTGAAGTTCACAGAGGACTTTGTATTATCAATCTATTAACAGTAAAAGTCACTCAGACAGAGCAACAGCTGCAGAAAGGACCTCTGTTCCCCAGGCACAGGATGGCAGAACTCTTTATGGATATGCAGGGTGTGTTAAGGCTGGAAGATAAAGGCTTTACTTTGTCCATGCATGTTATTGTTGCTATTTCTGCTATTCCAGAATGAAAACCCTCTTATTGACTAAGGCACTAGGCAATCACCCCCACACGAGTGTCAATAAAGAGATCCATTTTCTACATACTTCAGTAGGAAAGAAAAACAATAAAAGGTTATGGAGAAGGGAAAAGGTGTTTTCCTTTTAATCTTTTAGACTGCAATAGCCATAATTAGCTTTTCTATGTAGTTTGGCACTAGTTTGTCACAGTATTACAGTGAGAAACAGTGGCGTGCACTGATTTTTATATACAAATCTTAATGACTTCTATTGCTTTTAAGGATGCGGAGTGGTGGCAGGATATGGCCATTCACCATTAAGGCCCTAAAGCCTTCATAATTACTGAGTATACAGAATATTTATTATGGAGACTATGCCAGGCCTCTTTTGTGAGCTGCCCTGGGCCTGTTCTCCGAGCCACATCAAGCAAGAAGTTTAAATGAAACTGCTCCCAAGTTTCTGAAATGGTTTAATAAAACATATACTGACTGTAATATTCAGTTTATAGTAGAAAACTATTGCCCCTTGGTTTGAAAAATGACCTCTAGTTGGCAATTTTACTCTCAGCTTCATAGATTATAGTCCGCTGTTGGTCATTTTCTCAATCCACAGGGCAATACTTTTCCATAACAAGCTCAAACTGCAATCAGTATTTGTAGGCTGTTACACAAGTTGAGGATAATATGTCTCAACACATTCTATTATATGACTAAACAAAAGAAATAACAACCTGGTGACACAGACATATGGAGAAAAGCAGAGCTATTCTTCTAATGCTGAGATAGCAGAAAAACATATTTCTTTGTATTGTGCTAATTTACATTAAATTTAATGTCTTCAATACACAATAATCCCTAATTTGATTTTTTCATTAATGGTGTTTTGGTTTATGGTTTTTTATGTCTATTCTTATGTTAATGTAAAACGACACATACTAAATTCTATTAGTATCAGATTTTAGAAATGACCGATAGTGACAGCCTAACGTTGTAAAATCACATTAAAATGTATCCGCATAGATATCTTAAAGATCATTTGCTCTTGGCCACACAAAACACATTCTTAAACTTACAGGTTTGATATTAGGAAATTCTGATACGGTTTAGTAGGGAAGCTGCAAGTGAATTTTCAGCACCCAGGTCTAGTGCATAAATACGAGATGAATTCTGTGATTTTGGAAAAACAGTTCACCCATTTAGCTATCAGATAGGTACACTATCTGTGTTGAGGAGAATGCATAGACCAGGAAGTGAGGTAGATCTGGAGCCTGTTCCAAGATGTGCCATGGACAGCTCTGTCAGTGACAGATCTTAAGAAAATCAACCCCACCTTCCCAAAGCAGTCACTCTGATCTGTAGGGCTGACACAACTTACCGGGCTGGCCGGAGTGTGGCGAGGTTTAATTCTTCAATCAGTGGAGGATGAAAGCTCTCGTAGATCCTTTACTGCAAATGCAAAATATTTATAATTACAAGACTAATATTAATCCCCATTTGTAAATAAAACTCTGTGGTTTAAACGTGACACCCACCCATACTTGGAACCAAAGGGAAAAACGTCCTAAGCTGAGGCTACCGGAGTCAAGCAGAAGTGGATATTTTGCCATCCATCCCCTAGAAATTACGAGTTTCCTGTCCTTTAAGCAAATACATCATAATTGCTGGGGATCTATGATGGGGCAGAAGGGAGAATCTTCCTGAAAGCTAAAATAAGACCCATAAGAGAAAAACGTTCATTGTAGATCTGTATGGCTGGCTTCAGAAACTATATGCATCAGTCATATTGCATTTTGAGATATCAGAAGGGCAGATACTTTCTTTTCTTCGTTCCATTCTTCATCCTTCACTATTGTCCCTATGTTGTTGCTCAATCACAGATTCACCTGCATTCTCAAGCTGGAATTTAAGTGGTCTGTATTCATTTAAACACGTAGGAACTGCAGACATAAGCTTTAAAACATTTGAGCTAAAGAATATATCTGAATGTGATTACCAGAAGATGATGGTTCTTTATCTTACAAGTCTTCAAGGAATTTAGATGTCTAACTCATTAATAGTGTTTGTTGCATTAGATTTTACATTTTTCTGATTTTAGAAGAAAGGTTTTCTAATACAGAAAAAAAAAGCAGCTATTTTTTGTTTTGCCTTTTTTTTTCATTTTAAGGTAATAAAAGTGGCATATATGTGCCATAGCATAATGGTTTAATTAAGGAATACGATGTTTATCCTAGGTCCTGAGTTGTACATCTTCATAACTCACTCATAAAAATTAATGTATTATACCACGCTCCACAATGATATATCTATTTTCACCATACCTGTTGAGAATAAATTGTTCTAAATTGGATTATCCTGATATCCAGTGAGAAATGTAAAAATTACATTGTTATTTTAAGAATTTACATTGCTGTGTATAAAAAAAAAAAAAAACAATCTTCTCACTGAGCTTTTGAACTGTCATGTTACTCCCACTGTTATGAAATCATAATTGCTGCTGCCACACCTAAAATCAAATGCAATGCATACTGTATTTTTTCATACACTGTGCATTTCCTACCTTAATCACAAACCATATACAGTATATTTTAGGACTATTCTTTCATTACTGACTGCTTTTGTATATAAGCAATATACAACTATGCATGCAAGGACTCATAAAATCCTCATTTCTAAAATCAACAGATGAAAAATCCCCAAATAATAATGTACAGATGTTCCATATTTAAATGAGCTGCTGGCATTTAATGCTGCCAATCACATATGCAATAAAATTGGTGAATTTCAAGGTCCTCAGCATTTACAGCAGATTATTTTTATTTTTTTTAATCAAAAGATCATTTTAGGATGATCGAAAAAAATGACTGTTCAAGAAATATACAATGATATATTTCTGATGTCATCTTGAAATTCGTGTGAGTGGTCAACTACATTATATTGTTCCATACCAATTCCTATTCCTTTTTACCTCAAGAAAGTTGATTCTGCTGTCCTTAAGCTGCAATGCCTCACTAAAAGTAAATTATCTGCACGTTATCTGCAGAGTAATCCTCTTCCTGAATACAAGACAGAACATCAGAGTTTCTAATCCTACACAGATAGAGTAATTCACATCCACTGTACGTTTTACTGTAAAGAGAGTAATACAATATGTTTGATAAATCATGTATGTGTCTGTGTACAAAGAAAAAGGTTTATCTCCTTTCCTACCAGATGCATCCGTATTAAAAAGCAGACACTCCCTACACTGGCACCGCAAGAATCTTTAGAAGTTCTATTATAGAGACATCTAAGTTTAAAAAATGGAGCAGCTCACAGGTTCCTGATGAGAAGTGCTTAACCAGAAATATTATTCCACTGATTGTAAGTTTTCATCCATACATCAAACCCTAGAATCTATTGATTAAATAAAAACTGATCTTTCTTTCTTTTGAAGCAGGAGGGAATTAAATCATCCCCTTTGTTTTCCCTTGGTTTGGAACTATCACGTTGTACACACTGGCCATGTGTCCTGCTTAGAATTACAACATCCTAAAGGAGAGCTCATTCTACAGTGACTGATCACAGGTTTCTTGCCTCTTCCTCTAAATCTTCTGCTCCTGTTCATAATCAATGGCACCTGATGGCCCAATATTCTGATCCAACACGCCAAGCCACACAATCCAAGATCTGCTAAAAAAAAAAAAATCAATAAATTCGTTTGCTTCAGGAAATTTTGGATCAGGACGACTTTAAGTATATGTAAATACAAGAATTTACTGCAATTATGCTGGCACATCTTCCCTTCCTCATACTTCTTTTTCACTGCATAATTAGCTGCATCATGCCTTAATTTTGCTTGCAATCCTACATAAAGCAACCCAAGCTGGGCAGCTCTTGCAAAGCCTTATCAAAGTCAAGGTCTGATGGCTTAGAGAACAGAGGGTCTCCTTCAGAAAAACATCAAAACACTTTGTATATTGCTGAGCCCCACATAGCATTGACTGGGGTCCAAAGATCCCTTCAAATACTAATATAACATGAACACGTAGCAGACTGCTAACGATGTCTATGGAGAGCATCAACAGGTGGATGCAACCATCTTCTTAGAGTTAAGTTTTGTCTGGTTTTGGCTTTTTGGGTTGGTTTTTTTTTTTCCTTATGCAAAAGTGTCCAAGTTAACTTCATCGCCTCCTTGGGTTACGGTGTCTGCAAGTCAACCTTCAGCTCGGTTCCAGTGCTGCTCTGACACGCTCTAACACCCGGCACACATCATCACCAGGCCAGAAAACCCTGCTTCAGGGATGTGGTTTCCATTCCGGAAGGTAATCACTGCCAGGCTAAAATGGTGGCACCTGAGTTCACTTGCCTGTGTCACCCCACACTCAGAGATAAAAGGACGCGCGCAAACGCAATTCTGTGACTGTATACACACATCATTTGGTAAATTGTAGAAAATATTCTGAATATTTTTTTAAGGCAAGGAATTTTTAATGTACTTTGAATCTTCTTTAAATTAGCATCACAGACTAGGGTAAATGCATAATTAGTACTAAATTACTTAACAAAAAAAGGAATTTATTACCTGTTAGTTATTTCAGTGTAATGGAGTTACAGAAATGCAGAACAATGAGTAAATACAGCCATCTATACCAGTTAAGAAGGCTGCAGCTTGGGCACATCCTTCAGCCTTTTAGTCTTTTTCCACTGGAAATCACTAGTTCAACACCAGCAGAGCAAAGACAAGAACCTCGCTTCTGCGAAGTAGCACTAATTTCTGCCCATAGTGACATTCAGAGGAGGATCAATCAAGTCACAGGGGTAAGAAAACTGTTTGCTTATGATGTGGCTGTCACCAGTGAAGATGAGCTTGTAACACCCTCCAAGCATCAAGACGACACACAAAAGAAACATTAAAAAAAAAAGAAATAAACCCAACAGATACTCTTGCAAAATATATCAATGCAGTCCTCCAAACTGAAAAAGCAGAAGTCAGAAGATCAAGAACTCGCAGTTAGGATTTTCCTATTAGTTAAAGAACATAAGGATTCTCCTGAAGTCTTTGATTGATATATGATCTTTTCTTTCTTTTCAAGCAGAACAGCTGTCCAGTGAACTAGAAGAAATAGCCCTGAAGACAGCTTTGTGTCTGATATGACTTTGAGAGGGAAAATTATCCCAATGATAAATGCTTTACATGGAACATCTAAGAAAAAAAATAAAAATGTCATCCACGAAAGAATTTTTCTTTCTATTTGAGCAAGCAATCACTATTATCATCATCGGGAAGGGGGAGGAAGAGAGAGGGCAGTGCCTGATACTAAACAGAAAAGGTATATCCCTCAAAACTGGATTTGGAATGAACCTAACCAAAACCAGGCAATAGGTACTTTTAAGAGAAGGGCAACTGGGCAAATGTGGTTGAGAGAGATTTTTCTGAAGATTGTCAGGACACAGTGACCCAGGATATATTGTAATTTCCTTTATTCTTCTTTGTAAGGAAATTCATTAAGAAAGGTGAAACACACTTTGCTGGCTGATGAAGATAGACAATCTTTGCCACAATAACTATACGTGGAAATAGCTTGACTTTGTCCAAGAAAAGACAAAGCAATACCAACCAACACAAACCTTCTCAGCAGAAGGAATTGTTATATTAATATATAATAATATAATTAGTGTAAATTTATTCCATCTAATGGAATTATGTAAATTACATAAATTGAGGACTCCAGCCACTGTGATAATACAGTGAAGTTATATCCAGGTTAGAGGAAAAAATGGCAGGAAACAGAGCCTTTCTGGAGCTTACTCTAGAGCTGCGTTTTTTCATCATGGTGAGTAGCTAAGAAAAGAGCCTTAGAGAATGAACAGCCAGACAGATTAAATTTGTATATTTTTCTCATTTAAAAACACATCTTATCATGGCACTTCAGTGTATGGATGAGCACTGATGGCTTCTATCATACGCAGCCATGAAAAGGAAGAGTAATTACAACTGTACTTTCCTTAAGTAACTAAATCCAGTATAACACCAGCAGTGGCAAGCAGTACATCAATGGTTCATCCACCCACCCACGCCTTGTTGAATTTGCCACACAGATGGTCAAGACTAAACAAGGGCTGCTACATATCTGATACGGAACAGGATAGATCTTGGCTTAGAAACACCTGACAGAAGAGCACAATAACCTTCTGTCCATCCCATCTTACTGGCCCTCAAATCCTTAACCTACATCTCCTTGCTCACCCCACCCAAAAGTCTGCGTCTTTCAAAACAATGGATCTTTCCTCCTCTTCCAACTTTTCACTCTTCTCCCAACCAAGCACCCTTCTTCCTGCCCCAAAGCCTTCCTGAATAAACCCCTGTGAGAGTATCTGTTCCAGAAACTCACTGAAATTAGGTAAGATCTTTAGCATTGAAAAACTTAGAGACACAGTCACACATTCTCATGTATGTTTGTATATTT